TAGGTATCTTCCCCAAAGAACTTAATACATCATACTACAGCGATATATGCATATCAATGTTTTCAGCAGCACAATTTGTAATAGCTAGATCCTGGAAGCAGCCTGTATATCCATTAACAGACTGGATAAATAAAATGTGTTATCTATCTACATATAATGGAATACTACTTGGCTATAAATAATGACAAATTTGAGATGTTTGCAGGAAAATGTATGCACCTGGAAAATATACTGCTGAGTGAAATAAACCAGACACACAAGCATAAATACCACATGGCATCTCTCATTTGAGTGAGACAAAATACAAACAAAAAGAATAACAAAGAATGGATAGAAGGGGATGGGGGTATGTGGATTTCTTGCAATAAAAAGGGAAGTGGTGCAAAGGAGCAAGGGTGAGGGGAGAGAAGGAGGGGAAGGGGAAATAAGAATAAAGATAAGCCATGTACAGGAGCCTAATAACCATAACAAATGTAAACATAATATGCCATAACATGAGCTAAGATTACTAATATCAATAAGAATAGAAATTGGGATAGAGGAATTAGAGGATGGGGGGGAGGGAAAAGGGAGTCTAAAATAAAAGAAACAAGCTGAATTATGTGCATGTACTCACTCCCCAAGATGACTGTAAAGTGCACATACTGCAAACATGTATTAATAAAAAAAATTAAAAAGTTTTAAAAAAGACTGATGCAATGAGTACTATAGGGATAGAACAGGCAAGGCTTAGTAAATTATTAGGTACTTATACATGGAAAACATGATAGGGGAATGCTTCAATGTGTTTAAAATGGTGCCAATGTGCAGGGAAAATTAGAAGGAGAGACTGGAATATAGAAACCACTTCAGAGATTACTGGGCGAGTCTTGGTGAGAACAAGCAGTGGGAACAGGAAAGGAAGGACAGTTTCAACTTAGAGAGGAAAACTTTTGTGACTTAGTGGTGAAATGAGTGTAAAGAGTGAAATGGCTAAAAGTGGCTGAGGTTTCAAGCCTGGGTGACTAGATAGCGGTGGTGCTGCTATTAACAGAAACACAGAAGTTACAATGAGAAGTTGACTAGAGGGGAAAGATCACAGTGAAAAAGAGAAGGCAAGAGTGATATAGTGAGCTTTTAAAAGATTTTAAAAGAATGTATGAAAGGGTATAAGGATAGAAAACCAAGGACTGAGCTAAAGCAGCATGACAAATTTGTAAAAACAGGATTAAAAAAGCCGGGCATGGTGGTACACACAAATAATCCCAGCACTGGGGAGGCTGAGGCAGGAGAATCACTGTGAGTTAGAGACCAGCCTGGGCTACATAGTGAGTTCCAGGTCAGTCTCAACTACATAGTGAGACCCTGTCTCAAAATACCAAAAAAAAAAAAAAAAAGTCTTGTTACATAGAAAGTACTCAAAAACATGCTATTGAATGAATGAGCTGAAACTTGTCTCTCTGTAATACACTGCCATTCAAGGTTTTTGTTGTTTGCAGATGTCATGAAAAAAGCAAAAAGGAAAAGCCATTTAAGTACTATTTTGTCTCTGTCTTTTCCAGACCAGGAGCATGGTCTTTAATCTGGTGGAGGGACAAACACAAGTGAGTGAACAGCAGCACAAGATGGGTAAGGAGTGATTATGGGCGCTTAGCCACTTTAAGTGAGTTCAGGACTAATGAACTAAGGGAGAATTAGCCTCAGTGTTATAGTATGTATTTATCTGGATATATCCAAAGTTAGGGAATTTTGCAAAGAAGTTAAAAATATGGGCTTTGTACTCAGTAGAACTAGATTCAGCCAAGAGTGGTAGCACAAGTTCAATGCAACCATGGATTACAAAGTGAGACTCTGTCAAAACACTAAAACCACCAACAGAACAAAATAAAACAAAACCAACCCAACCCGACCTTCTCAAACCAATCCATTCCAAATCAAAACCCAAACCCAAACCAACCCCTAACCCCCAAATCCAGAAAAACTTGACACCATCACTGCTACCACTACCACCAGGCTCACACTCTGACTTGGCCATTTGCTAGCTGTGTGACATTTGCTTTGTCACTTGGTTTCTTTAGGCCTTAGTCTTCTCCATCAGTACACATAGGGAAAACAGTCTCTACCTTGTAGAGTATGATTAAGAATTAAATGAGGCAAAGGATGCAAAGCCCTTGGTTAAGTGCCTACAACTTAGTAAGTGCTAAAAAAACCCAGTTATCTCTTAGTGATGGGTCAACTGTATAATTGTGAGTTTCCATGAGAGAAGACTAATAAAGATGAGGTCACTCTGGCATAGTGGGGTATACCTATAATCTTACCACTCTGGGGAGCTGAGATAGGAAGATCAAAAGTTTGAGCCCAGCTTGGGAAACTTAGGAACTTAGGAACTTAGGAACTTAGTGAACCCTGTCTCAAAACAACAACAACAACAAAAAAAAATGACTGGAGATGTAGCTCAATTTGAAGATCCTGGGTTCAATACTTAATACAGGAAAGAAAAGCAAAGAAAAGAAAAAAAAAGTGCTCTCTTCATTCTTTTTGGTACCAGGAATCAAACTCAGTACCAGGTAGGCACTGTGCCACTGAGCTACATCCCCAGCCCATCTTCTTCTTTTTGGGTACTGGGGATCGAATCAGGACCTTGTGCTTGTACTTGTGAGGTAGGCGCAGTGCCACTGAGCTAAATCCCTGGCCCTCCCATCTTTATTCCTAGAACACAACAATGCCTGGTATGTAGTGGTCAGTAATAGCTATATAATATTTCATTGCTTGGCTGAATTATAGTTCCTATAAGCTTTCTCCTACTTAAGATTTAACTATTACTTTGTTTAGGATCTTTAGGTTGCGTCTAATTTTTTATTGTTGTAAAAAAACACTGAAAAGAAATTCTGTATACATATCTTTGCTCTGTTTTCTGTTTTCTTGGGATATATTATTGGTAAAAGTGTTGAAGGGTATTATTTAACAGAAAATGTATACTCTAACAGTGCATCGAAATGTTTGTTTCAAATATCATGTACTGAATGTACTGAAGCCACTTGGGAGAAATTCTGCCTGAGTGATGTTATCATCTCCAAGATTCTCAGGAACTGGGTGGAGTAAATAAATAGTAAGCTGAGCTGTTGGGCACTTACACTGAGAACTGGTCTGATGTCTCTGTTCTGCAAAGTCAGGAGGTACATATTCTTCAGAGAGGAAATAAGAACTCAGTGGGTGGATCCTAAAAGGGAGTGCGGGCTTTGAAATAGGAAAAGAAGTCTGCTTTTGAGAGTGATGAAGAGGCAATGCTGCATCATTCTGATCACCTATACTCTATTAGGTCAAAACTCTGTATGTCCTTGGATTGTATTTGCAGTTATTTTATTTTGATTTCTAAGCATTGCATTAGTTTCATGAATGTTTGTACTCCTTTATTGTTTTCATCTCAGGGAATGTCAGAAATCAAGCAGTTATTTGATACTGCCTCTTTCCTCACTCCTCACATTCAATCTTTCATCAAGTTCTTATGATTCCATTTTTACTGTATTTTTCTATTTACTGTTTTCTTATCTTCCAACATTTTAGTACAAGCCATCATTGTCTCTTATCTACACTGTTGTAATACCCTCTCCACTTTATTTTCCTGTTTCCATTCTTGTATCTGACTAAGTGATATTTTAAGAACTTAAATTGCCATTGGACATGGTAGTGCATGCCTGTAATTTCAGCACTGGGGAGAATGAAGTAGGAGGATTGCTATGAGTTCAAGGCCAGCTGGGGCTACATAGTGAGTTCAAGGCCCAGCTAGAATCACAGAGCAAGTTACTGCCTTAAAACAAAACAGAAACAAAAAACCCCATCTTAAATAGATGATGTCATTTTTTGTGATTTCCCTTTCTGCTTAAAGTCCAAAATCTTTAATCTGGCCTATAAAGATTTGCATGATTTGACCCTTTCTTATCAAACCCCACCTTTTGCCTATCTTCCCCCTTGCTTCATATTTCAGTTATAATGGCTCTTTTTTCTCCTTCTTCTTCTCTCTCTCCTGTTCCCCTGCTCCTTCTCCTTTTTTCTTTCAGTGCTGGGGATCCACCTAAAACCTTGTGCACAGTACAAAATCGCTCTACCACTGAGCTACATCCTAGGGCTCTTTAAGTTGCACAATGCCTTTTCTGTTCCTGGTTTTTCTCATAGCTCTTTCTAGACCTAAAATATTTGCATATACCTTTCCCTGTACCTGGAGTGCTCTTCCTGCCACCTTTCATTTGGCTATTTACCCCTCATCTTGCAGGTCTCAGTTCAAATGTCACTTCCACAGAGAGGATCTTATAGCAGCCTCTTCTTTTTCTTTATAAACTTGTTACAATTAGGGAAGGGAAAGAGAAGTAAAAAAGGATCAAGATGTGATATGTATACATACTAATTCCCTATGACGAATGTATTTATTATGTACTGCAAACATATACTAATAAAAAAGGAAAAAAAATCACAATTAAGTGTGTGTGTGTGTTCTGTCTCTTCCATTAGAGAATAAGTTTTTGAAGGTCATAGATAATGTTTGTGTCTAATATGCCTTAGCACAATGTCTGTTATAGGTCAGGGGCTCTTCATTTAAATGAACCATAATGTTTAGCACAGTGTTTAGAAGTAGGTTTGAAGGCTGGAGATGTAGCTCAATGGTGCCGTGTGCCTGCCTGGCAAGAGTAAGGTCCTGAGTTTGATCCTCAGTACCAAAGGGGGGAAAAAAGTAGGTTTGAAAACATCATTACTAATAGGAAATTTTCTGTTACTATTTGAATGTTAACCTTATAAAATAAGGGATTTTAAGGTTAGTATAGTACTATATAACTAAATTCAGGAATTATTCTGTATAGCATCAAACCAAAAAAGCACAATGATATTTCCTTCAGTTTTCAGAATATTTCCAGTTTTTTCTGTTCTCTTGATGGCTGAGACAGACCTAGGATTAGGGAAAGATATTTAGTGCTTTTCTGTGGTTGATATTTGAGTACTCTTTCTCTCCTGGGCACGTGGGTACTCACCAGCAGGCTGTGACACAGAGCATGAAAATGCTGCTGATTTGTTTCCAGCTCATCCCAATCTAGCTGCCAACAGCTTGTGGGTCTAAGGATGAAGGGAAGTCCATATGTCAATGACTCGCAGAACCCACTAGGTTTCAGAGCCCTGGGAAGAAGATGACAGAGAAAGACTCGTGAGTGGTATTTAGAACCTCTACCCAGATCCACTTATATTCAACTTAACTCTAAGACCCTACTATAAAGCTTTCAGAGTAGGGCCACTGAATTATTTACCTTTGTATGGCCAGCATCTAACATGGTTTCGGATACACAGAAGTCTCTCAAAGCTCAGGAATTTATATATACATGGGTCCTATGACATTAGAAAACAGTACTACTCTTGCTTTGTTTTTTTTTTGGCACCAGGGTTTGAACTAGGGATGTTGCTCTTGTGAGGTAGGTGGTGGAACCACTGAGCTAAATCCTCAGCCCAGAAAGCAGTGAGTGGCCTTTGCAATCACTGTTAATTCTACTCTAGAACTGGTTTCCCTGGAAGTGGAAATTCTAGTACTCAGAAATGGGAGGGGTCTGTGTGCACTTGCTCCTTGAAAGTTGGAGCTCTTGTACTGATGTCTAAACACAGTAGACATTCTGTAAATATTCACTGAATGGTTAAACACCTCTCTACTGATCTTACTTTCAGAGAGTTGTGTTCATAGACTTTTCTGGATTCCCAATTCTCATCCAGACTGCCAAGTGTTCTGCTGCAACACTTCTTTCACATCTGTGCTTTTGGCCTCCACAGACTGAGTAACCTGACTTGTTTTTTCACACCATACTTATAACTGCTACTTCAGAACTGACTCTTCCCTGCCTAAATCTCTGGACCTCCTAGCCATAGAACAGTTAAGAATTGCATTTTCATGGGTTGGAAAGTTCCCTTGGACCATACTTGATCACTTGGAGCTTGTAATGAGAAGCCGATGACTGGGAAGCCATTTGGTAAAGTGTGCTGAAGTCTCCTTTGGGATCATCCATTCTCAAGGAGCCATCAGCTGTACCAGGGAGCAGGGATGGACTGAGAAGACGCTCTTGGAGATCACATTTCAGGCACACTACAATAAAAGCAGCATTGCGGGAGGGACTGTTAGTCACAAGTTACCTCAGGTTATGCTATTAAGAGACATCTGCCATTTCACTTTTACCAGGCAAGTAAAGGACAGGAACAGGTAGGAGAGTGGGAAGAGGAAAGCGTGATTGATTTGGGAAGGTAAAGCTGGCCTACAACCTATAGTATGTCTATTGCTCTACGCACTGTTAACTTATTTTCTGCATGTGATATGAATTTTACTTGTTTTACTTCTGGGGTGGGCAGAGAAATTGTCTCATGGTGAGAGAGCTAGCTTGTAATCCAGTCTGAGAGGAACATGGAACCTTTGTGAAGCCGGAAGCTAATGCCAAAATATGCAGAGGTCCTTTTGCAGTCACAGAAGGAAATTTGCCTCTGGTGCTTCCATGTGGCTAAGCTTTGGCAAGACTACAAATCTGATGAAGGAAGACCAGAAAAGCAGAAGTCAGGCAATCAGCTGACTGTTACTGTTTCTTTGTGGGCTTTTCAAGGGACATTCAGGGTTACAGGGAGGAATAAGTTCCTTAAATAGCTTATTTTTAATTCCCTCAAAAACCTGAGTGTAGGCCTTTCCGGGCCTCAGCACATCACTCTGGCATCAGACAATAGTTCTGAGGAAGGTGTAAGGCTGAGTATGAGCTATTCGTTTAAGTATCACACTCTTTTGTATTAAGCTTCTGCTCTAGAAGTTACCTTCACATGCCACAGGGTACAATGTGCTGTTTCAATAGGCTTGAATCCTTGATATTACAAAGTATTTTGAATAAAATGCAAACTTGGACCAGGGATTTAGCTCAGTGGTTCAGCTGCCTATCTCACAAGCTCAAGGTCCCAAGTTCAATCCCCAGTACCAAAAACAAAAGAAGGAAAAAAGACAATTAGAGTATGATCTTAACTGTGAATACTTATAATTTCTGGTAAGTTACATCTGTCCTAGAAGAGGTCTAATTTCCCCAGAACTCATTCGAACTGTGCCTGAGGCTCTGGGTTTCAGTGAGGACCTCCACAGCAGAAAGGTTTACTGGAATCTAAATGTAAGTTTTACATGCATCCTGAAGATGTGCAGACTTCCTAAACATGATTAGAGATGGAGATGAACATTCTGGCTCTGACCCTGGTGCTGCAAGCTCTAGAAAAACCATATGGGGGAAAGACAGAAATTCTGATCAGAGGTATGGACAGACATGCAACAGTGGAGGAAAGTCAGGATGCAAGAGCTCCTGGCCTTCGAGGGCCCCAATCCTTCCTGTGAAAGAAGTGAATCTCTATCCCCTTTGTTCAGAATTTCTGAGTATGAGGCAGGTTTGTGGTGGATAAGGCCAAGGCTCTGGAGGTAGGTAGACCTGGTTTGATTCTCTGAGCTGAGAATGGCCAAATACACAAAATATAGATTTCTAAACTTGGCATAGTTGTGCATACCTGCAATCCCAGCTACTCAGGAGGCTGAAGCAGAAGGATTGCAAGCTTAAGGACAGCCTGGGAAACTTAACAAGACACTATCTTGAAATAAAAGGGCTAAGGATGTAACTCCGTTGTAGATGCTTGTTTAGCTTGTATTAAGTATATATGATTATATGGCTTAAAATCTTGGCTCTGTTATTAATCTTCTGTAGAGCCCCATAAAGGTTATTTATTTCTTTGTCTCAGTTTCTCATGTGTAAAAAAGGGACAGTATTGTATTTGATTGATTTAACACACTATTTCTATAAATATCTGTATACCTGGTGCCAGGGATTTAGCTCAGTGGTTCTGCCAACTGCCTCACAAGCACAAGGTCCCAAGTTCGATCCCCAGTACACACACACACACACACACACACACACATATATTTACCTTATAATTTCTTAAGCAGACCTCTAACAGTTAAGAGTACTTATAACTCTAACCTAAAAGAATTGTCTCAATAAGAATAAAATAATACTTCTAATGTTCAATTGGCAATGTTTTCTTTCTTAGTGGTACATAAAATAGTGGTCTTATAACTGATAGATTATATTATATTCAATGACATATGGTAACAGTGCCAACCTCATGGTGTTGTGTAAAGAATGGGTTAATGAAAGGAAAAGAGTTAACACAGTGCTTGCCACAAAGGCAAGGCTCAAAAATGTTAAATGTAAGTTGCCTCTTGTATAAATCTGCCAGCTACTTTTAACAGGGGAAAATGGAAAATGAATTTCAGAGGGTGGGTCAGGGAGGAATTTTTATGGTCAGCCTGGGACTAGATGGAAAGCAGGACTTGGGAAGATTTTGATCCACACAAAAAAGACATTAAAATCAAATTAAGTTGTCAAAGGTATCCCAGGTCCTAGGTTTAACTAGGGGAGGGAAGCAGAGATCTGATGCCTATCCCTAGAAAGAAATGATCTGCAGAAACCATAGTCCTACTTAATTGTACCTTTAAAAGGCTCTTCACTATCCCAAAGAAACAATGGTAATAGCAGAGTCATATGACAATGGAAGAAAGGAGAATTCACATATACTGCTAATGGCAAAGAAAAAGCCCTCAGAGGAGGTAGAAACCTATGTCATATCTAAGCCTATGAGAAAGGGCCTGGAAAGCATCATGTCCAGTTCAGTCTTTAACCCTGAATGATCTCTATAGCTACTACCAATCTTCTGTTCAATGAGAAAAATGGGCACAAACTCTTATTCTTAAAGGAGAAGACACACCTTGATCCTCTCAGGAGCTGGGCCCTAGAGAATTGGTTTTCCTAAACAGTGTGGCTGATTGTACTAATGGGCCCATTTGCCACTCTAGGTCCTGAGCAAACCTTCAAAAGGATGGGAGAATAGAAATAGCTATATCCCTACCATTTAGTGAAGTAAAATTACCCCCAGAAAAATAGCTATGACTTTGCTGGCATGCCTGGAACACTGGATTCATCCCTTGGTTTCAGTAATTGTCTGAACTTGCTTTGTGAATAAAACCTTGAAATATTGTCCTCCCTGGGGCTTGCCACTGTAGCTGGCTTTAGTTTTCAATTTGATGCCTCCCCAGTGAGAAGATCTCCATTTAATAATGATTATATTTCTCCTGCCACAGCCCTTTTGATATTGTTGAGGTAACAGATGCCTCAAATTATGGTACCAATATTTACTGTATTAAAAATGAGCTATTAAGAAAAATATGATTCATCATGTTCTTAGGTAATGTAGGCTAATTCCCTATCACTGAGGTATCTAAGACTTTGTTCCTAAATGAATCAGTCTTTACTATTTGGGTTTAATTAGCTTCAGCTTTCTAACTGTGCCACTTTTAAAACTTTCTGTCCTTGTCTTCATGTTAACATGTATAGCCTCACCCCATCCTCATTCATTCCCTAAGCCTCAACTACCCTGTAGTCTGATGACTCATCAATCTAGAATCCTAATCCTAGACAATCCCGATATAGCCTGTATTGGCGGTGGCAAACCTATGGCTCTCGTGCCACAGCAGGCTGTGTGTATCACTGAAAGCTCTAAGACGTTTGTCATCACTGGCCTAATATAACACATCTTTTGGGGGTTCTATACTTGGATTATCCCTGATTCTGGAAAGGTTGCTGAAACATTGTGATGGAAGAAGAAGATGGATGTGTTCTTGATCTGTTCCACTGCTATGCAGCCAGGCTTTGAAGAAAATCTCCATGCTGATAACATCATTATCTATAGTCTGAAGGTCAAAGTCAGTTCCCAGGATAGAAATTTCTGTAGAAGAAAGAAAAATAATGATTAAAGTGTTTAATTATAAATTTTGAAAAGTATAAAATTTAAATGCACCTATCTTTTGACTCATCAACTGTTTTTCTAGATAGCTAACCTAGTATCCAAAGAAACATATGCAAAAATGTTCAATGAAGCATTATTTTAATGACAAATAATCAAAATGCCAAACAGGAAGCAATTCTAGTGTGCATCAATAGGAGAAAGTTTAATAAATTATGGCACACTCAAACCATGGAATTTTATGTAGCTGTTAATAAAGCAAACCTAAACATTCTGGCATGGAAAGCTAGGAGACAGTAAATGAATAAAGGACACTGCAGAACAGATATAATATTGTTCCATTTATATGAATATGAAATTGTCTGCCTAAGTACACACAAATGTTAAATGCACTTTACAAAGGTCTGGAAGGTTGCCATCAAACTGCTAACAGTGGTCAGGAAGTGTACGAGGCAGGGTTCTGAGATATGTTTCCTTTCTACTATTCATACTTCTGTATTGTTTGAATTTTATTGTAATTATATATTTATTGTGTTTAAAAGTACTGTAGAATATAAAAATAAAAATGATATAGAAAGCAAGTTAAGTACTCTGTTAACGGGAAACTTCAACTTTATATCGTTGTTTTACATTAAAATGTATTTAAGTATTATTTTGTCATAAATTGAATTTGAAGGAAATTAAAAAATGGACTACTGGGTTCCACTTTATGATATAGATTAAAAGTTATCCACTGGCATACTGTCTCACAGTTGTGGCTAGTGGCAAAGAGGATGGAGATGGTTTGGTGGAGTATGATTTAATTCAGAATATGAATGAGTGGTAGTAAGTAGGTGGGGTAACGTGGTTTTGCTGGTGTACTTCTGGCTTTAGACAGCACTAGCTCTGGCACTAGGGCTTGGGTCCGAAGGTAAAAGATGTCAGGGAAAGCCAAATATAAGGTGGTGGAGAAAGTACAGCCAAAGGAAATGAGGTAAGAGTTGCAAAGAAAGTAAGGAGAATCCTGACATTAATCATGAGGGATTCTTTGAAATACCTTTACAATGAGCCTAAGAAAAACCAGTGGTTCTTATGAACTAACTTCTGTGTTTGACTCATGAGCTCCAGAGAGAAGGTTAGTTTATTTCTAGAGCAACATTCCTGAGGACAAGCTGGTAGAGGTGGCAGACTTTCCACATAGAACAAAGGAGCTTCAGTCCAATTTGTTGGTTCCAACATGGGGAGGTGTGAGGAGACTTAGGTGACTTCATGTCATAGTTAATGACTTACCCTGTGGCTGAAAGGGGAACACCAAATGCATTTTTCTGTGGCCAGAATGGTTAAAACTTCATCATCTTCCATGGGCAGTTATGAAGAATCATTAGTTAACTAGTTATTTCATTAATTCTACCACATATATCTGACACTATTTGTCCTACAGGAATTTATAAAGCAACATTATTCTTGGCTATTTTCCCTTAATTTTTCATCTGTCCCATTATATTTTAGGATACCATAGTGATAAACATAAAGCCACTGCCAAAGAAACATGTCCTTTAAGTGAAATAAATTGGACACACATGTTTACCATATTGTTTTTCTGGTGTGAGAAACCGAAAGCAGAAATAACGACTAAAATGTATAATAGTTGCTGTGAAATGGGAAGAAAATGTCCAAATGGGAAGAGGAACAAGGGAGGAGGGAGGGAGAAAAGTAGGTGCTCAGAAAGTAGGATACAGTTGTTTAGAGTTCAGATGACAGAATTCTGGAGAAGAGAAAGAAGGGTAAAGAATAGAAGATTAGAAAATCTTACCATGGGTCATGTAAGGGGACAAACCACAGTTATCTACTATTAAAATCTGGAAATAAAAACTGGGGTTTCCTCAGATAGTTAAACTATAAAGTCAACACAGAGTGATAAAGTCAAAGAAAAATAGACACCTTTCAGAATGGTAAGATGGTTTACAGAGCAAGATCTGGATGTATGTAGCCTTATTGGTGGTATTGGCATATCCAAAGGATGAATGTGTCCATTGCAGGGGGAGAGGGCCAGAAAGGGAGCATAGCAAAGGGCACAACGGGGGCACACACTGGCAAGTCCTCTCCAAGTGAAGCTCAGAGAAGGCATGCTAGAGTAGGCATGCATTCCAACAAAGGATGTCTGTGGGACAAGACTGAGCTCAAATGCTACCTCCTTCATGTGGTTTGCCCTGATCCACCCTCCACTGACAGGATTGACAGCTTTTGGTGTATGTTCATGATATATGCAGTTCACATTACATTTTACCTTGGTACTATAGTTGTTATGTGAAAAAACATTTGACTACTCCTATTAAATAAAAAAACTCTTCAAGGGTAAGCATTTTTTCTTCTCATTTGCATCCTTCCCATCCCCCAGCTCAGTGCTTTGTAGAGAAGCTTGGCAAATGACTGTTAAGTTGAACAATTGCTCTCATTGCTTTTTCCTGTAACTCTTCTGCTTCAGCTAGGTTAGCCTCCATGTCACATGACTTCCTTCCTTCCTTAGTGCTTTTATTACTCTGTCAATCCATGGCCTGCTCTTCCTCTAGCATTCAACTCAGGACTGACTATCCAGAATTTATACTCAAATATATCCACTTTAATTAGTACTTCTGGATTTTTGAAGGCTTCACTTGGGCAATATTAATTATACTTGTTCATTTTTTTGGAAACAGAATCTCAATTCAGGGCAGCCTTGAACTTACTATGTAGTCCAGACTGGCCTCAAACTCATAGTGATACTCCTGCCTCAGCCTCCTAAGTGCTGACATTATAGGTGTGTGTCACCATACCCAGCCTGATTTTTTTTTCTGAAGGATTTTCTTTTCTTTTCCTGAATTTATGAAAGGTGGTAAGATTTAGTGGGAAGACCAGGGTTGGAATTATGCCCTGAAAGTTGTTAACTATGTGGTTCTGGGCAAAGTGGGGATGGGATAGTATCTACTTCATAGATATCAGGACACATGGTGGGAAAAAATTTTTACTAGCCGCTCCTCAGACAAAGGACTATTATTTAGAATTTATAAAGAACACAAAATATCAGCCCCACCAAGTATAAAGACCAGATTCAAAAATGGGCATCTGAAATGAATAGACATTTCTCAGACAAAGAATTAAAAGCATCAAGTAAATATATGAAAAAATGTTTCATATCACTGGTCATTCGAGAGATGCATATGAAAACAACACTGAGATTCTATCTCACCCCACAAAGCATGGCTTCTATCAAGAAATCAACCAATAGCAAATGTTGGTGGGGTTGTGGGGAAAAAGGAACCCTTCTCCATTGTTGGTGGGAGTGCAGACTGGTGCAACCACTATGGAAATCAATATGGAGATACCTCAAAGAGCTGGGACTAGAGGTTCCATTTGACCCAGCCATCCCTCTGCTGGTTATCTTTCCAAAAGAATTAAAAGAATCATATCACAGTGACATATGTACACCTATGTTTATAGCAGCACACTTTGTAATAGCTAAAACTTGGAAACAGCCCATTTGCCCATCAGTTGGAAACTGGATAAAGATGTGGTTTTTCTATAAAATGGAATACTGCTCAGCCATAAAGAATGAGAAATTAGTCATTCACAGGAAAATGGATGCATATTGAGGATATACTCCTAAGTGAAATAAATAAGTCACACATGTATATTTCTCTGGTGTGAAAAACTATAATGGTACATAAAATCCTAATGAGGTAGTTGAAAATGTGAAATAGGAAGAAAAGGGCTAAAGGTATAGGGGAAGTGGGAAGGGTAGGGAAAAGGTAATAGGGGAAAAGAAAAAAACATGAGAAAATGAAAAAATGGAAATAAAGTATTTCTAAATAGGGAAGGGAGGAGGGCGTGAAGGGAGGGCAGGGATAAGGGGAAAAAATGAGAACCAAGACCTGTCATGTAAAGGTACAAGATCCCAATGATGAATGTAACTGTACTGTATACATAAAATGTATCAATAAACTCAATGAAAAAAAATGTGAAATTATCTAAGAATGACACGCAGTTAAGTCCAATAAATATCATTTTTTCCTCTTTTTTCATCAACAAAATGATTAGTTTATATAAAGCAGGAATATATTTCTTTATTTCCTGGTCATTTTTGTTGGTCTCTCTGTTTTCTCCCCACCACTACTATACATAAAAACACCAAAATATAACCATATTCTTTACAAATACAACTAAATGTGCCATGTCTCAGGGTTAGGGAGGAGATGTCTCTCTTCTCAAATGCTGAAGAGCAGCTTCCACATTAGCTGGAGAACAGGGCACTGTGCTCCTGATGAAATGTCCCCATCTCCAACTCTACAACATCATGAAATGGGGTTACAGGAGTGAATTGTGGCTGAGAGTTTGAGTAATCCTGTCTGGTGAGGAAGGCCTGGGTCACTGCAGCTGTTAGAAGCAGGATACATTGATATCTTTGGACTTAGTCTGCCCCCATGCGGTCATAGGCAGTGGCATTCTTCACTGGAAGGGCCATAATAATGGGTAAAAGAAACCCAAAAGACTGAAAATCAGACAATGCCTAACGCAGAACCTCTCAGAAGAAAGCCTAAAACAGGATTTCACAACTCAACTGAAGTGTGTTTAAAACAGGCTTTCCTATGTGCATGTACAGTGGCTGTATTTCTCTCTTGACATGATATATCTACAAAGTACAGGCCCCATAAAATGGAGCTCCTGCCCAGTTCTGAGCATTGTTTAGTCTCATAAAGGGTGTGCTCTAGAGGCCAGCCCTCTTCCTTACCAATGACCCTCATATGACCTTTTTGGGGTATCATGGATGGGCTTTATGGGTTTTGGGAACCGTCTGAAATTGTATGCAATTTCATCTCCATGTGTATAGATAGATGTATTTTGGTTGAGCAGGGGAAGGGGATAAACCCATTGCTTTTATCAGAATCTCAAAAGAGCTCTATGACTCCTTAAGAATGTCCATGTTCATGATAGAGACTACACAGTCATAGTATCTTAGCCTATCTTGC